GGCTTTGTCCACAAGGAAAAATCAACCAACAAATAGAAAAATGCCATCTGATTGAGATTTTGCTAAAAAATAGATAGAAATCTTTTGATCAGTCCCGTGTTTTGCATTTCTGTGCTTATATAGCCCTTGCCAGAGAATCTCAGAAGAAAAAGAAAACGCTGTTGAATTTGGAAGCATCTTGCCATATGGGCTCACCTGAATTTTCTGAGAACTGAGGTGACCATCAATATTTGTCATATAACTGGACTTGCCCCAGTTCCTTTACTGAACACACTCATGTCCTCCACAACCCTAATTTATAACCCTTACATAATTTTCCACCGAGGAAGATGAAACCCAAGCCAATTCCAACTCGTAGCTTCCCTACAAGATGGGGCAGGACTCCCTGGGTTTCCGAGGCTGTCAGTCTTTATGGAAGCAGACTGCCCTGCCTTATCTTTCATCTACAGAATGGTTGGTAGGCTTGAACTGCTTGCTTGCTTGGTAGCCCTATCTATGCTTAACCCACTGAGCTAACATGCCCCTTCTGAGGAAGTGATAAGATTTTATTCTCAAGTGTTCCCTCATGGTCAGAGTGCCATTGTTTGCTTACTTCTGACCAAATAATGGATGCTTTGCCCTCGTTTCTGGTTTATGTACATTTAATAGTTGGGTTTGATGAGTTTTTTTGGGTTTTTTTAAGGGTCCCTCTAGGGTTGCTAAGAGCCCTGGTTGTGTAGTGGTTTTGAGTTGGGCTATAATCCGAATGGTTGGTAGTTTGAAACCACCACCAACTCCGAGGGAAAAATACTGGGCTTTCTATTCCCATCGACAATTACGGTCTCAGAAACCCAGGGTTGTGATGAGTCAGCATTGATTTAATAGCAGTTATAGGATTGCTATGTGTTGGAATCAACTCCATGCAGTGAGTAGAAATGTGTACACATTTTACACATCGCAAATGTGTCTACCCTGGCTTTGGAAAGCATTTTAAAGTCTAACAAGTTAACTTGTTTGTCCAGTTATGGGACACTTTTATCCCAGTTTATAATGGAGTAATCCTCTAAGAGGAGCCCCGGTGGCAAGTGGTTCAATGTGGGTTTCCAAGGCTGTCAGTCTCTACGAGCAGAAAGCCTCATCTTTCTCCTAGAAGCACCTGGTGGTTTGGAAGCACCCAACCTTGTAGTTAGCAGCCCAACTGTAGCACACTACACCACTAGAGCTCCTTCCTCTGCAAAACCAAAGCCCAAACTCACTGCCATGGAGTTGATGTTAGCGCATAAATACCCTATAAGACAGTGTAGAACTGCCCTTGTGAGTTTCTGAGACTGACTTTCTTTTTCAATAGAAAACATGTATAATTTATTATGTGGGTCTAGAAATGATCACAAATCAGTTTTAGGCACTTACTGAGTACAGACTAAGGGGATTTTCTACCAAAGAACAGTATTTCTAGCAGGAAGCATGATAAAGATTTAAGGTTTTGTTTTTAGGACAATACACTGGGCTGGACAAGTTTTCAGAAATATTGCATAACTATCCCAGCTGTATTGTTACATGTCTTCACAATTCCACATAAAATTTTAGCATCCAGCAGCTGAGAATAACTTTTTCTTAAATCATTTTACTAGGGGCTCATACAACGCTTATCACAATCCATACATACATCAA